AAAAATACATAGACTAAGAGATAAAGAAAAATTATGCTTCTCCAGAGTAATTGATATAAATTTACTTAATGGGCAAGAGAATTTAAAAAACACACATGGCTTCCTTGTTTGTTTAGAATAAATTTGTATCTGATCATTAGTAACTCTGTAGGCTCTTATAGCACCATGCATTTTTGTAAATCTTATGGATTCATCCTGTTATTTGACCTTTTAAGTATAATCTCTTCACCCAAACACATTCATTAATTTTTATCATATCTTAATGTATATACTTTTGATAAGTATACCAAGGCAGGATTTTAGTAAATATAAAGTATTAAACAATGAAAATTATGAAAATTCACTGGATTAAACTATAGCATTATTGTCCCACAAAACCACATTCTGATCTAATAATTTTTAAGTCCTTAGGCCAGGTGTCACTTTGGAGAACCAGCTTATACCACAGAATTCTAAGAACATCGATTAAAGAGTATCATCACACTATTTTGTGAGTTTTAGACGTTGCACTTGTACTTAGTTTTGCAATTAAGTAAGAGGTTATAAGAATTTACTAAGATGAAACAATGATATCAAGTTAAAGATGAACTAGAAAGTAAGCCAGTAACAGCAGCCAGTTCTCTGCATCTTTATGACAGGAGTTAGATCTCAGTATTCTCTGTTAAGCCCAGTCTGAAACAGAACTCATTTCATGCGAAAAAGGATGCCATTTTAGAAGTGGATTCATTTAAAGTTTGTCTGAGAGCAAAATATGGGTGAAGATTTTAGATTTCAAAAGACTTATTGAGGTGCAAAACAAATATTATATAAGGTACTACATATCTAAAACAAACCCAACTACCTACAGACAGCACAGAGAAGATGTCCTTCTTCTAAGAAAGGTATAAAATACTGCTTGTGTTGTCATCCTTCAAGACAATATCTGCCATAATTTATCTCAAAATAATAAAGTACATAAATAGAAAGGCAACTAGGCAACTCATAAGAAGTCAAGACAAAACCTTGAGTTCTTTATCTTTACTAAGGGACGTACCAAAATACATCAACACTAGGTGGCAGTATTACAAAGGAATAAAAAATCCACAACCCACTCTATTGCCAGTAAGATGATTTCCAATTGACTTGCTTTCTTGGTTTCCAAGGCTATAGTCCAATGCGTAGCCCACAGTGCCACCAGACTCCGTTTATACTAAGGGAAATAGTGTATTTTAATAAATGAATCTCAAATTTTGTTTCACAAAGCATCTGAACTGGTCATACTTGGCTTATAGGAGTCCTGACGGTACAGTGATGTTGGCATTGGGCTGCTAACGCAAGGTCCCCGATTCAAACCCACAGACTGAAGTGCGGGGAGATGTGAGGTGGGCTGTTCCCACCAAGATTTAGTCTCAGAAACCCTATGGCGCAGTTCTACTTTGCTTCACAGGGCAACACTGACTTACATATATTTGATGGCAATGGATTTAGTTTGGGTTTGTATAAGTTATACATTCAAATAAAATTCTTTTGTAATTATCTTTCTTTTTTCACTATTGGAAATTTTTTTTTAAAGATGTGCTGGCCTTTTGAATACATTTGAAAGGATGAACGTGCCTTTCAATGCAGAGGAAAAGACCAGACATTGCTCTAGCACAGTGTCAAGGCCAAGGGAACTACGAAGCACACTCAGGTGTCCACTGTGCGACACTATTGGAAAATTTACATGCCGATCTGTACCTGGTATTGTTCAAAGCATGAAAATACAGACAAAGCATGGTCTTTGAACCAAATATATAAACCAACTGGTATAGTTTCCATACTACTTATAAACAATGTGAATGAGTGCAGTGATGAGAATTTGCAAGTGTTGTCTCATATTACAGAATGGCAAAATGAGTAACATCTTATAGAAGAGACTTAATGAGTATTGAAGAGAGCACCCAAGAGAAGGCAAGAGCATTTCAATAAAGTATACCACAAGCAAAGACAGCAGTGAGAATGTGCTTGTTATTTGTCCAGATGACAGATAGTTTGATATGGTTGGCAGGGGAGTAGAGAGGAAGGTGGGGAAGCAGTCAGGAAGATCAAATTAGTAGTAGGTGACACTAATAGGCTTTGTTCAATTAGATGTCAGTCAGTGCTTTTCAATCTGGGGTACTGTATATATATCACTAAAGGACTCGAGAAGTGGCGATTTGAACAGAATACATTTTCCTAGAAAGCCAATGCTATTCATATATGAGGAAGGAAAATAAAGTTAATGCACCTTTAGAAAATTAGTTTCTATTCCATACCAAAAGGGTAGACTTTACTAAATCTGTTCAGTTTTTTTTTAATGTATTAAGAAATCTGTCACTATGAGTCAGAATTGACTTGATGGCAGTGAGGATAAAGAAACTTGTGGTACAAAGGAAAGAAATTACATCATGTATTGCATGTGTCCCCCACAAAACAACCAACAAAAAATTATAGTCTATACCAGTGTTTCCCAAAATGGGAACTGACTCCCCCTTGTGGGTTGCTGGAATGGTCCAGGGGCTGCACCTAAGCAGCTATCTAGACTTCACCCTGAATTATGGACTTTAGCACAAGTTTTTATTGCTAAGGAGGCATTGAGTAATTTCATTTTTTTCTTTGTGAAAAGAGGGTGGTGGGCCAATTAAGTAGACCATTCTGTGCAGCCTGCTTGAGTACAAGGACTGTGCATCTTTGTCTCTAGTTTAAGTTAGTGTCATGAATTTATCAGTTGCTGAAATTAAGTGTGTTCATTAACTATTAATGACTTGGGGATATTAGGAAATAGACAAGTTAAATTTCTTTAAAATGGTCATTTTCCCCATATCCTGGCTTTTGGGGGTTATAAATGTGAAACGTTACTAGGAAGCACTCTGACCAGAAAAAGAAGAGTCCTACAGTCAAACGTAAAACTGGCCTGGATCTCTACATTACTGTCTTCACCGATTCCTCTGTCATTTTGCTAATTTTCTGACGCAATCAAGGGAAAATGTCATTCTCTTTCATTTTAGCTCCATCATCTCCCTTTCTCCCAAGCTTACCCCTATACTAAGAAATCCTCAAAAAAGCCCCAGGGTCTCCGTTGTGTCACACAATCAGATGACTACTGGCAACGAATACCATGAAACACTTTCTGGTTTTCCTGTTTTCATTTTTCTAAAACCTGACACGTTCACTGCATGCACTAGGCACTCCCCAAACTCATCCACACAACAGCCTTTTGAGGTAGAAGCCCTTTGTACTAGATAAGTAAGATTTAGAGCAATTAAGTACCAAGGTTAAGGCCACCCTGTAAGTACCAGGTCTGAATCCAGATTATCCAATTCCAAAGCCAGTAATCTGTCCCATTTACTGGCTCAATGGGGTGGAGGCTTAATGTCCACTTGATACTACAGCTAGGTTTTCTCACAAACCAAACTCAATGTCTGTCGAGTTGATGCTGACTCATAGCAACCGTACAGAACAGGGCAGAACTGTCCCTGTGAGTTTGAGACGGTAACTCTTTACAGGGTAGAAAACCTCGTCTTTCTCCTGAAGAGCAGCTGGTGTCTTCGAACTGCCAACCTTGCAGATCACAGCACCCCTCATAACCACTACAGCACCAGGGCTCCTAACTTTAGACAGCAGGTATTACTAATGATAAAGAAATGGATGTTTATGGAGAAAAAAAAAATCCAAGATCATCTGAATTTAGGCAGCAGAGTTAAGATTCAGCTGTCTGGCAACCAAATATAAGATTTCAACAATTATATTATACTTCCTTCTAGTGAAAATGGGACAAGTAAGCAAATGATTCTAATAGAATAAATGAATTACAGTAAGTATAAGGAACAGTGGAGTATCTTCGTGATGCTATAAATAGCTATTGGAAGTATATGCATTAAGAGGTTAAGTGAAAACAAAACAAAACAGAACAAAAAAACCCCACACCTCACTGCAAAGTGGAAAAGTACATGCTATATGCAAAAGCACCACAGTATTAAAATACGTGGGGAGCTATTTGTTGGGTGCTGGATTTCCAGTGGCATGGTGAGTTACATGCTGGGCAGCAGTCTGACCCTGAAGGAAGATGGGCTTTCTGCTCTCATAAAGACGCAGTGCTTCAGAAACCACCGGGGCGGTTCTACTCTGTCTGTAGTGTCACCGTGAGTCAAAACTGACTTGATGGCAAGGAGTTTGGTTTGGCTGAATTTGGAGGCGCCAAATTAGGAGAAGGGGAACCATGTAGAAGTTCCTCTCCCAAGATTAATTGGGACAAGCAGACAGGGGCCAGATTGTGAATATCTTTGTGAATGCCATCCTCAGAAGGTCATATTTGATTGCAAAGGTCTATCTTTTCTTCAAAATGTACATCTTTTGATAAAGTAAAAACTTAACTTGCTATAACATTTTTATAAACAAATTGCTCTGTGAAGATGAGGCAGAGCGACTGAAGCTTCGCCAACAGGAGAGTAACTGATTTGACATTAGAAGTCTACTCTCTGGCAATTTGGATGAGATGTTAAAGGGGAATAAGGCCATCGCAATAGTTCAACGAAAGGTAATACTAATAAACTGAAGAACATAATGGCAGGTGTGCAAGGGTGCAAAGGGCGTGGATCAAGAGAGGTAGTGGACCGTATCCATAAGGGGGTTTCACAAAGTTCATGGAGAAATGTCATATCCTCGAATTTCTCTCTTCCATGTGCTTTCTGAATCCCCCTCAGGCAAGATATGAGACCAATTTGGTACAGGTAGTGAGGGTGAGAGAAAAGTTAAAAGATGGCTTCTGAACGCTTTTTTTTTAACCAAACCCAATGTGTCTAGGATTCCAAACTCAAACCCGCTGCCATGGAATCAATTCTGACTCACAGCACGTTATATAATAGGGTTTCAAAGCTAAATCTTTATGGGAGCCAAGACTTCCATGTTGCTCCAGTGGATTGGGTGATGGTTCTGAAGCACAGGCCTGGCAGCCCAATGCTTAAGTCCAGTAGCAACAGGGCTCCTTAATGTGCCCACAACAGTGTTAGTAAGCACGACAGGAGGTTAAGAGGAAAAGCACTGTCTGATGATGATGATGATGATGATGTTTGGGGACAGTAGCTGAATTACAGATATTCAGTTTACAGTATAGAGCATATCCAGACAGGAAGTAGATAAATAAAAGAGCTTCAGAGATAAATTTGGGAAATGGTAACAGAAACCAGGGGCCAAGAAAGCAAATATATAACATGACTAAATGACAAAACTTCCCTTTTTGACTACAACAAAAGTAATCTATCCTCTCTCAGATGAGGCACTGAACGTTTCTGAAATGTATTCATTCTCTTTATGCACATAAAGCCTTTAAAGGGGGTGGGGCTTCTGATGCTAATCATCGTTGTATAGTGTCCGGTAAAGTTACTTATACATAGCAAGTGCTTAATGAATATGGCTGAATATATTTACTAAGTCAATAAAATATTACTGAGCTCCACAAGATACACTCCTTTAATTTATTGGAAGAAGCATATGATTTACCATTCAGTGACTATTTGAAAATGCTGGAAACAAGAAATATCAAATTATAAGTTACGTCTAATTTACCTTTCATCACAATAAGAAAATTTCATATCCAGGCTGTGACGACTGAGGAAAGTCTTGCTATCTAAAGGAATTTCAATATTCGATGGGTGAGGAATGGGTTCACATATCAGCACCAAGCACGTCATGGGCGGTTTCTTATATCCGCACTGAGACTGGTTACTGTTCGTATCATATACATGGATATGGCCTGTGCAATGAAGTACCTGTATGTGAGGGCAAGGCAAAAAGGCCGTTTGTTAAACTTTGTAAGACTAGAAGAAACACAATGTTAGTTGAATATGACATGCTAAGTAAGCTATGCTAAAATTCACTTTCATTAATGGATTAACTGCTAAATATCTTTATAAACAGTAGTGTTTTTCCTTTGGTAACACTCATGACTCCCAGTATTGTAGATTACTTTTTAAAAAATCCCATATGCAAATCTGGGTTGCTTTTTCATTCATTCCTTCTGTTCATCATAACTGGTTAGTAGTTATTTCCACTCTGATGACTTTATTTCACCAGTAAGCATACCAGTGATCACTACTTTCAGTAAACACTACTTGAGGGAGGAAAAAAACTAGAAAGAGCTAAATCATTAGATACTATAAGGACAGGAAGGAATATGCTTCAATGACAAGTTTTCTGCAGTATAAGCTTTATGAATATGGAACTGGTCACACAAATTCCTTTATTCTTGGTTTTGGTCAATCGATCAACTAATATTGTTTGTTTATTTTTTAGATTTAGGTGTGAAGGATGCTTCCATAGTTTCCTTTTCCTAAATGGTTTGGAATTTGGGGGAAACACACAAAGTGTTTAACTCTGCAAATGCCAAGTTTCCTCCAACAATGATATTTTAACACAAGTGATCTCAAGATCACTTTCTAGCTACTATGTCAAATTCACTACAACTCACAAATCAGTCTTATTTACCTTCCACGTCGCAGACTTGATATTCATAGTTCTGCCCCGGCTAGTCAAGGTACACTTCATCCTGAGAAAAAAGCTTCGTTGTGTGTTTTGTTCTTTACCCTTTTTCACAGGGCCTTGACGAAAGCAAGAAATAAAGTTTAAAACTACAATTACCAAGACAAACTTGATAATAAGAGTAGCAAAATGCCCAGCACCTCGGAGCTATTCAGATAGATTTCTCAGTATAAATACAAGTGATTCACAGTCCTTTTCCCACCCCAGTATATCTGACATATTCTAACCAGTAAACCGTACTTCATGTCTACAATGATTTTCTGTGTTAACAGTTCATTATTCTACACTCAAGTTGGTAAGCTTGGCTAAACTGTGGAGGAATTCTGAACTTGTCCTATAACTAGGTTATCAATGTCTACCCCAAAAGATAGAGAGGACACCCATCCTATCCTTTTATTGAAAGTGTTGGTACAATTTGTAATACGCACTCCATTTATGCCTTGAAGTTTAAAAACAGCTATGAGCTTTCAAATAGCAAGTGTTTTTATGTATCTGATTGTTCCCTTACATCTCCCAGTAAATCATACAGATAATTGTTTCTATAGGGAAATTTATACTTATTAAAAGCCCCCCAAATAAAACAAACTCAGAATGAAACAAATTTAAGTCTCTGACTCTAATCCAAAACCTAATACAACTTAAAAATTGAGATTATAAGCAAGTTGAGTCAGCAAATAGTAGCTTGATGCTGTATCTTCACTGGTCAGGCTGATTTAAAACAAACAGAAAATGAATCATTATTTAGGGCTTGGACTAAATACTGCAGGTGATACAAAAATGAGTAAGATACACTGTCTTCCCTGAAAGAGTTAAACTTTTAGTAAATGCTATTTTAAAGGCAAACACACTACAATAATCCTGATTAACTGTCCGAATTAAATGAGCACTTCAAAAGAAGAACAGAGAAAAACCAGAACCCTAACTTCTACCAGGAGAGCATGCGACAAAAAGAACACTAGAATATGTCAAGTCGATCTGGGTTCAAAAGGTACTCCACAGAAGGAGTGGGAAAAGTCAGGAGGTAGAAAAATAGCCCATGTTCAGAGGACAAAGCAGAATTTGGCTATAGAGTAAAAGTAAACCAATTATAAGGCACTGCTGGAAGGGAAGATCAGGGCCATAATCACGAGGGCCTTGGATGGCAAATGATACAACATGGACCGTCGCAAAAATGTTGAGAAAGTAAGTTAGGAAGCACCGTCAAGAGCTCAGGTCACAACCCAGCAGCAGTGTATTAGGGTGCAGTTATGGTAGGTGGTGAGGGGCCAATAACAGAAGTGGAAATGAAAAGAAGACAAATGAAGAGGTGAAATGTAAACATTTGAAAACTGACAGAAATCCAAAAAGATCTGGACATTTTAAAGCTAGTATATGGAAACAGAAGTGTTAGCACAGTGAACAGAAATGAAAACAAATGAGAAAACAAAAAACCCCAAATTTGAAATTTAGGCATGGTTAGTGAGAAATGTTGGGTTCTTGAGGAAGATGTTCATAACTCATGTGAGGGAACTAGGAAAGCTGAGGGCAGTCTTGGTGCTGAGGCACATTACTGGGGTCTGCTTAAACAAGGCCTGACCGTGCCTTTCTTAGAATCATTCCAAGTACCGTCAGAGTGCTCTTTAGAGGCAAGGCGGGCCAAGCTTTGCCTTACATGCTTCGGACATATTGCCAGGAGAGACTGACAGGAGATCATATTTAGTAAAGTAGAAGGGCAGCGAAGGGGGGTTAGGCCCTAAAGGCGACTGACCGACATTTTGGCTGCAACAACGGGTTCAAGAATAAGAGCAATGGTCAGGATGGCATAGGACTGGGCAGTGTTTTGTTCAATTGTGCATAGAGTTGCTACGGGTCAGAATCAACTCAAATGGCACCTAACAACAGAATCATTCCAAGGATTCCTGGTGGCCCAGTGGGTGATGTGCTGGGTTGCCATCTTCAAGATCTGCAGTTTTAAACCTCCAACTGCTCCATGGCAAAGACTGGGCTTCTACTCCGGTAAAGAGTTTCCAGCTCAGAAACTCAAATGGGCAGTTCTACCCTGTTCTAAAAGGCCGCTATGAGTCAGAATCAACTAATGGCAATGAGTGACCAAATCATTCCAGTATGTATTTTTAAAAGATGCCACACTTTCTCCCGATGGTTCCGCTACGTGGACGTGCGTGTGTCTGGTTTTGAAGAATTCAACCAGGCTGTAGAGCAGCACAAGAGCAAGACCATTTTTGCCGAAGGGAAAAGCTGGTGCCCGGACTGCGAGCTGGCTGAACCAGTTGTTCTAGAGGGTCTGAAGCATACTGGTGAAGGATGTGTGTTCATCTACTGCCAAGTAGGAGAAAGACCTTATTGGAAAGATCCAAATAATGACTTCAGAAAAGAGTTGAAAGTAACTGCAGTGCCGACACTACTTAAATATGGAAAACCTCAAAAACTGGTAGAATCTGAGTGTCTTCAGGCCAGCCTCGTGGAGATGATATTCTCTGAAGAATAGATTTGAGAAACTGGATCTTGATTTTTAACTTTGCTTTAGAAATGGGGTGCTTGTTTCTTAAGTAAGTAACATGTTAAAAAAAAGTTGGTGTATGTCTAAACAAAAGTGTACTATTAAAATGCTCATGAGGTAGGGGGTGGTGATAGGGAGGGAGGGGGTTTTGGGAGGAAATGATGAAGGCGGGAGGAGGAAGGAGCAATAGAACAGATAGTGATTGCACACTTCATGCTCTAATATTGATGTGGTAATAAGTGTTCAATGCCCCTTGATATGATTGAACAATAAAACTATTGAATTGTGTAATTAAAAAAAAGATGCCACAAAAACCACACTAGTTTTGGTGATGGGGGTAGGCATGTATGTAGTGGCCATGCAAACTCAGAGATCAATGCCTTACGGGATTTTAAGTCCTTCATAATCTAAACTAGGATGGACTGACCTCTGGAAGCTCGCAGCCTTTAAATGGAGGAACCCAGATTTTTAAAAACAGAACCAAGGTTAATTGAAAAAGCACTAGCAGTATTTTCCTAGTAAAAAGAACATTTTAAGAGAACTAAAATTTAAAGTTCTTTAAAAACAAATGATTTATTTTCTCAGGTCTAAAGTATCTTCCAGACTCTGAATGACTATGTTGTAGAAACACAGTATCTTCAAAATGTGACACTTTGTAACAGCCCTTCGTTTCTAAGAGTAGAAATCTATTATTTTGTTTACCAGAAAAACATAATAGATCCTATGTAATTTAGAATAATGTATCAACATTATTACCCAGGCAAAAGACTTGTTGATATCCATTTACTTATATTCTAGCCAGTAAAGTATAGCTGCAGGCTATATCTTACCCATGAGATGTACAAAGATTTTTATAGGAAGCTTGTATAAAACATGAAGAAATTAGATGGTGCCTGGCTATCAGAAAGAATAATGTCTGGAGTCTTAAAGGCTTGTTTTCAAACAACAGCTATCTAAGTGAGACGTCAACTAAGCTCACATGAAAGAAGCACACCAGCCTATGTGAACCAAGAATTGTGATTCCCCTCTGACCATACGTGAGCTGGAAATAACCCGGTTATCAGACATAGAGTATTAGAGAGACAATTATAGATTAAAATGCTAAATCTGACTCGAATGATCAAAACCTTGTCATTTGCTCTCCCTTCTGATACACTTTTAGCTTGATATGGATTTTAATACTGTTTTTTCTTTTCAAATTGGGGCTTATATCTGTTGTATTTTATAATTTTAGGTAGCATTCTTGACTCTCTCTCATGTAACTTTCTATGTTTTTCAGTATAAGAAACCCAGGCTGAGTGAGTCTACAGAAACAGTAACTGGAATAAGGGTTCATGGGGAGTGCACCAGGGGGTGAGGGGGGTAACTGGGAACTGACATCAAGGAGTACAAGGGGGAAGAAAATGTTTTGAAAACGACTGTGGTAGTGATTGTTAAATGACGGTGGTAGTGACTGTACAACACTAGAGATGACTGAATTATGGAATGGTATGCTGTTCAGATCATGTCCTAATAAAGTGATTTGAGGAAAAAAATGTATGAAATGTCAAGAAGATTAAAATATTAATTAAAGAATGCTTATTTTCTGAAGTAGAAAGTGAAAATTTATAGGTGAAATACAGGTAACATTTCAACTGTTTTTCTAGTACACAGAAGCACACTCACTGCCGCCGAGGCGATTGTGAATCACAGGATAACTTAAAACTTTCTAGCTCCTGTTCACTTAGAATTCTAGACACAATTCAGCTGTCAATTCTTAACTGCAAAAGGCAGTCCTGTCATATGAAAAAAGTTCTAAAGTAATTTAATAATCATCAAAGCATTATTCTTTTATTTCATAAAAAGCCAATCATCAGATAAAAACAAACTTCGTAAGTAGAAAAAAGTCATCTTCAAATCAAGATATCATAATTTTCTATTTTTACATAGTTCGTTTTTCTCAGTAATTACTCTAATCACTTTAGCTGAAAAACAGCTCACCTTTGCACCATCCTGACCCACTTAGAAAGTACCAAGCTACAGGAAGCACCAAGTAGCCAATACACTTCAAAGTCTAAACACTGAACTAACTCATTTACAACCCACTTAGGTAATTTCTCAAAGTGTATTTACTCTTCTTTTATCCTGAATTAGCTAAGTACAAGCGGTATTTGTTTTCCAAGTTCACATATATACACAGTTCCAAAACCAAATTCATTTCCACTTTGCGTTTTTGAGACTGTATATCTTTACACGAGTAGAAGGCCTCATCTTTCTCCTGCACAGTGGCTGGTGGGTTCAAACCTTTGACCTCACGGTTAGCAGCCCAATGCGAAACCCACAACACCATCAGTAGAGTTTGGAATTAAAAAAAAAAAAAGACAAGTCCCACCTCACCCCCAACAGGGTGAATAGCAGTTTAAAAAAAAGTAAAATTCACTACCATGAAAAAGAACTTTAAATATTAATTTATTAATGATTGTAGTAGAGTCCTGAGCCAGTCCGCCTGAGTCAACCCATGCCCTGCCACTTACAAATCAAGTAATCTTGGGCAAGTTACTCAATCATTCTCAAGGCCTCAGTTTCCTCATCTGTGAAATAGAAATAACAACACGAACTTTACAGGATTGATATGAGGAACACAGGTTCAGAGGCATAAACAAATGCAGAGAATATGCCTGGCCCAAAGTAATCTCTCCTTAACCCATTTCTATCAAGTCAATCCCAACTCATAATAACCCCATAGGAGAGCAGAACTGCTTGATACAGCTGCCAAGGCTGTAGTCTTTACAGAGGCTGAGACAGCAGCTAGTGTGGGACTGCGAGGTCAAATTGCTAACCTCCCAGTTAGCAGCTAACTACTTCAAGCACTGTGCCACCAATGCTCCTTATCCTCTCCACTGAGGCTAGCCATTTCATTTTATGAGATGTGATAAGAAAGAAAACCATAAAAATCTATTCAAGAATGATAAATTTGAGGTTAAGATAAAAGCAAACCAATTTACACACTTAAATTGGAGAACAAAATACAGCTGCAGAACATAAAGTTTCATCATGGTAACTTTCAATTGTGAAAGAAACAGCAAATTATGATCAGTGCAACTTGAAGATTGTTAAATAACATTTGTTTATCATCAAGAGGTATTTATAAAAAATTGTAGAACCGCTGATTACCTAAAACAATAGCATAAAAGGCACTATCGTAGTGCAGTGGTTACAGTGTTCAGATGCTAATCAGAAGGCTGTCAGTGTGAACCCATCAGCTGCTCTTTGGGAAAAGACGTGGCAGTCTGCTTCTGTCAAGATGATAGCCTCGGAGGCCCCATCGGGTTGTCCTTGCTGTCCTACAGGGTGGCTCGCAGATGGAATCAACGGGAAGGCGATGAGGTTAAGTGGGTTTTTCTGTGCTCTATTTTTAAAGTTCTGATAAGCCAAGCCCCACATTCCCTACCGGGTTTCTAAAAGCTTGCACGCAAACTGGTACCCCAACTTCAACAACTGTTTAAAATATTAATATCTGCATTCTAACTTATGATTCCTTTGGTTCTAAGTTTTATTTACTTTTCCTTTATGAAACATTGCTTCTCTCTAGGCGGCACAAATGGGGACGCACTTGACTGAATCCACCAGCAGCCTTGAAAAGGTCACTGCTTGCAAAGCCTCAGGAGCGGTTCCCCTCTACCATTAGGGTCACCGGTGAGGGGAATCAACTCCACTGCAATTAATCCTATATGAAATCGGTGGGCTTCTACCTAAAACTATAGAAGACAGTTTTCACAGAGAACAGAGAAACATTAAATAGGAAATTCGGTGTTAGGCTAGAACAAAACTTAAAAACTGCTAACAGTATTTAATTATATAAAACAACCTGTTCAATGAAATCAAACAACAGACTTTTGTCCTCACCAGTTCTATGGGTTAGCATTTCTCTCATTTCCTCGTGGTCACATGGATGAGTAAAATCAAACACACTGTGTCCAGTTAGTTCAAACTGTAAGCACATTAAAAACAATTAGATCCACAGCATAAGATGGTAAAAACAAACAGTAGCTCTCTTGATATGTGGGTAGTCTACCTGAGTTAATCCCATGTACTTGTTTACATTATCAGAAATGTAAATCATGTCACCGTCATCTGTGAGAACCATAACAAAACCATCCAGGGCTTTCAAATAAAAGCAATTCATCTGTGCCTTCATTTCATCTTCAATATCCAAATCACCTAGAAGGGCACAAGAATATGAAAATAATTAGTTTAAGATTCCTACTTAAATGGTCATGACATCTATGTGGTATATAAAGTTTTACCTAGATATTTTATTTTACATAGCATCTACTTTATTTCTGTGTAACCACCCCCATGCCCCACCGTCACTCTTCTGTAACACAGAAGAGTCAAAGCCAAAGGATGGAAAAGGCAAAAATTAGAACAGTCACATGCTTTTCCTTATTATTTAAAACAGGATAGCAAAGAACACTGGAAAAAAGAAGTCACGTTACTAAGAGGAAGATCAGTAGGGTAGGGCAATAAGGTAGGAAAAAGTCAGCATATTAAGAACTGCCCAATGAAACTTTAAAAGTAGGTAATAAAAAGCTACACTGTGAAAGAAGAATTGACAATATGTCTAAGGGACAAAAGCAAAATGAGTACAAAGTTAAACTTGGTAACAACACTGTGGAAATATTTTTAAAGTACGTTATAATGGGGTATACAAAAATCAAAACATTTTAACATTCTTCAGAAAATAACCCCTAATCATCTCTAATTTCCAGGTCTATTGAACTTTAGTAAAAGAACTCACCGGCATCTAGAAGTTTCCTCACACGCAAGTAGCTGATGGTAAGCCTCATGACAGAAGCCTTGTCAAGATGCGAGCTGACATTATGGGGAAGAGGCAACTGATGAGCAAGCTCATAAAACACTTCAGACTCTTTACTTCGCCGAGATCTGGCTGCATCTCGAGACTTTTCTTTTCTGCGTTCCGAACTAATCCTATTTAACAGCCAAAAGGGGGTGGGGTGGAGTGAGAAAATGTATATGTTAGGAACCTGTTCAAAGAAGGTATTTCTATCAGACCATATCAAATTGTAAAGTGTGTTTTTAATTTAAAGCCTGTATATGCAAGGATGTACTTTCATAGACATTCAAAAGTAGTCTCAGTGTTGACAAACCATGAACAAATTTAAAGTAC